CGACCCGGATGTCACCGTTGTCATGATGCAGATGGCACCTACTCGACCGTCCTTTATCCAGTCGGTTGATTCCTGCTTCACACGCAGGAGGTGTGATGCTGTCCCTTCCCATTGACGTTGGCCTCAGAACCATACAGTATCATCGTACCACCCTCCACTCGTGTGAAGATGCACGCAAACCAAGAAGCGTTTGCCTCGATCACGTCCGAAGACGCCTTGACAGTCCGAGTGGCGAATAACTCGGCCGCGCCCGAAGACGCAAACACAAGCCACCGAAGTGTTGCTGCCGTCTCGAACCAGGTTTTGCTCACGTACCGGTAGTGAAAGCTCAGGAGGATGGGCAGTGCACGTTTAAATTTTCGCTGTTTCCGCGCAGCAGAGGCCCAGCGTTTTCATTTCAGCGTTTCGGGATATCGGAAGAAAATCACGTCCGGACAAGTGAAGGGTATGCACTAATAGTGGGGTGTAAGTTGGCCATCAATTCTTGATGGAATGACGAACAGGTCGAATCCAGCGATCTCATTGGCTGAAACTCCTGCAAAATTCATGAGCTCCATCAAGCTCCATAAACCATTTAAACAACAGAGTTCGCCCGAACTGGCATCTACAAAAAGAGTGATGGAACGTTACATAGAAAAACGGGTCAAACGGGTGTATGAGTCGCTTGCCATTTTATAAGCGATTTAATCTCCATAGAAAGCGGCGCAACCATATCGATTTCATCTTGGGTATCGACTGCCTTCTTCATGGCCTCCCGGGCTTAGGCCATCGTCGCAATGGCGGCAAACTTGTGCATAAGCTTGGCATTTCCGAGAGTAGTCTCGATCGCTAAACGCGCTTTCTTCATAGCTATGAGCTGAGTTTCGAGGTCGATGCTTCTTTCCTTGGTGACTTAGCGACCCTTTTTGATGGCGGAAGGATCGTTAGTCAAGCTATGCTAGTAATGCGCTTCGTCGGAGAGGTCGAAACAAAAACCACACGTTTTTCTTGGCTGGGCGCAAGGCTGGTGGTGGTAAAGGGTAGATTTGGCATGCGACCGCTTGCCGTTGTGCGCTCAGACGCCAAAGCACGGGGTGAGGCAGGACGCGTGCTCGTCGGCAGTAGGTCGCTTCCAAAGCCTTAAGAGCTTGCCCTCCCGTCTTTCACGAAAGGGAAACATGGTAAAGATTATTCGCCACAATGGAGTGTGCATTGCGCTGCACAACTTGTGCTGTGCCGACGCTGTACTTACTAGCCGAATGAGTAAATGGCGAACTCTTCGACAACTTGACCTGTACGTGACAAACTGAAGTAACAATAGCAGAAAAGAGACCCGTCAAGCATAGATCGACAGCATTTGCATCTAAGAACACACATTGTGCGTGTGTATGTATCATCGGTCATCCAAGTGGGATTCAAGCTGACTTTTTCGGATGGAAATGCACTAGGGACGACCCTTTTACTTCGGCACTTCTAAATAAACTAAAATTGGGGAATTGTTTCTCTATCAAGCCGTTCCATTAAGATTTGATGGAAAAATTGAGCCCTTAAGATTTTCCTTGGGACGACTACCATCTATTCGCTTCGCCAAACGGCGTCCAATTTGGTCCTGCCTTCTTGGTGACAGCGCCAGCAGAAACTTTTTCCGCATAAGTCATGCGCAACAAACTATGTGTGGGTGCGTTTTCTGGCTGCTCTTGTTTTTGTCTACATACGGGCAATTTTCCAGAAGTTGCGCTGCTCCGTGGTAAGTGAACCGCTCTCATTCCAATATCTTCACACAATTGTAAGCCATTTCGCCGAACGACGACATTTTAGCATTTCTGCATAAACCATAAAAGCTCGCAAGTACAAAAGACGTCCTACTGGAATTACTCCGTACAGCGAAGCGAATACGCGCACTGTGTGCGCGTATTCGCTTCGCTTATTGTACCGCACCGCTTTGTGATCGGTTGGCTGATCTACTGAGATACTAACTAACATGGTCACCAGATGCCAGGTTATATCGATTGGAGAGCAACAAATACTTCTACCTATGCAATTAAGCCAACGATTAGTAACTGTAACATGTTCGCTTGCACTCCAAATACGACCATATGACTGCATCCTTGAATGAATCTGGCGAATTACACTATCTCTTGGTTCTTTAAACGGCGTCATAAAGAGGTCGACGAGGTCAAGGCACGCAGCGAGGACCTCTCGTTAACACGACAGGCCGCGCACGGTCCGTCTCGCTACAAGACGCGTGGCAATTCGGGGTGTGTTCGACGAACCTGGCAGTAATAGGCCTCAAGATCCAGTTGCGCGAATGATTTCTGCGACGATAACATCGCAGAATGTTTCCAAACCCATGCTAACAAGATTTTCGTCCCCGTTTTTTCGGAACAACTACTCCTCTTAAGTTTCATTAGCTACAACAACGAACGCATCGGTAACTTCCTTAACCTACCTATTATATTTATGTATGGTCGAATCTGCTGCGCCGCGCCATTTTTCGCGATCGCCAAGGTCTTGACCGACACTAATGTAGCACTTAGCTGCATTAGTGACGATAAATCCCCCCTTAGATGTATGTATCTGTGAGGCGTAACATTTTGTGAAGGTATTGAGTCGTCTGACCTAACAGCCATTTTCCACTTTGATTTTAAGGAGAACTTAAAGTGCTTTTGGATTCGTTCTATTAAGCCGCTCGGCATTTTCCAAACTTAATGTTTATTCTACAATTTATTGTCTTTAACGATTACACTCACGCAGTGCGTATTATATAGCGTGGCTAAACGACATGTCGTTAAGGCGTGGCAAATCCTGTTTGCGAAGTGAGTCTATTAAGCTCTTGGGTTGATCACTAACTCTAATAATCTGATTTGCTGTGGCATGCAATAATTAAAAGAAATTGCGCACGCTCTTGTGTCGGGCACTAAACAAGGCCGTCATTACACATAAAGTACAGGGCCCAAGTCTTGGACGTGCGAATCGCTGACAATGAACAAAAAATTGTTGGGAGGGGTGGGCTCTAGGTCCGGCCATGCAGATGCACATTACGATCGCGTTCTCAGTGGTCATGTTCCCCGCCTTCTTCATCGCCGAACGGCTCGTAGGTCTTCCACTCTTATTTGTTCTCTAACTGATAGCGGGTTAAAATCAAGCTGTGTGCATGCAAATTCAATTGGCCGACCTGCGCGATGTACTCAATCTTAGAAACCGCCATGCCGTAACCCGATTTAAATCGGCCAAGAGTTCGCTGTTTCTCAATTACACTGTTAGGAAACCTCCCACATGAGATCGCCAAAAAACACGCACCGTCGCCACAGATGCCCGCCTCTTAACGCTACTATGTAAACAAAAACTGGAAACCTGTAGGAATTAATATCTCAATAGACTTACACTAACGAGCGCTGACCTGTGGCCGCCAGGCTCCGAGACAGTAATGCTGAAGAAGGCGGACTGGGCCATCATAGGGCCAGTGCGGACGCTCACCGTGTTGAGCGGGCTGTTTTAGTCGCGGTAGACCTCGTCGACGCTTTCCAGACACACGTTCTCGATCACCTTGACGGCGCCTATCATCTGGCACATGAGAACATGGCGCTGGCGTAAGCGGGAGAATACCGAAGTCAACCTCATATGCGGGCTAGAAGAGAAGGCGGATGCTTGTGTTGTGAGGCAAAGGCGCACGCGCTGCATGACGATGGCAAAGCCGACGATCGACGCGACGTGGCCGTCAAGGCTGCACATGTGCGCCGCGCCGGCGTTGGACGAGGCGTACTCTATGTGCCGGTTGCGCTGTGTCATAGGCAACGCGTCCGGCCTCGGAACGCGACGCATCGCAGCCCCGGCGGCTCCACCGGGGTCAACATTTACATTATTGGGCCAACGACGTTGGCCCAATAATGTTGACTGACCACCAAAGCTACTTGCTGTAGGTGTAGCATGGCGTGTAGTAGTCCAGTATGGTACCTTTCGTTGCGCAAATGTGGATGTCTCCGTCACCTCGGCGTGCTTGTGCAAGTAGCGGCGCAGCGCCATGGGGAGCGCAAAGAGGTCTTTTGTCGACGACGGCGTGAGGCTCACCATGATGGTTTGAGACCTTGGAGGGGGCTTGGGAAATGGCAAATCGACTGTTAAAGGCACAACAACCTCGAAACTTCAACCGCAACCGCTCTTCCTTATTGATAGCGCACGCCACGCCCGGGACTTGCGACTTCAAAAGCGTCACGAAGGGCCTGAAGACATTGGCGCAGAGATGCTTGGACGGTAGCTCCGTCGACGGCGCCTTGCCTTCCATGCAAAAGGTCGTGTCGCGGTGGACCAACCACAGCAGCACCGACTTGGTTGAAGGCTAGGCCAATCTGGGCGCCGACATGCTCTGTGACAAGATATTTCGACATGCTCCACTCAGACCGCCCGAATTTCGGTTGCAATTGGCTGCTTTATGCTCACGAAATGCTGCTGCTTTTGACACGCGCGCGTCGCCTTGGAGGACGCAGCATTCAGCAGTTGCAAGTGTCTTCGCACTGGTACAATTGCTATGGTGCATCCGTGCGCTTCCAGTACACACAACCGACGCAATCGACATATAGCCAGCTCCATGGGAACTACCCTCCTACCCTCCTTCTTGGAGTCGCTCTAGATGTCTACAAAAGTGTCAAAGACTATAAGTCCAGCGTCACGACGACGCAATTTGCGTGTTGTTGTCAATGTGGTACCCAGTAAACCGAGCACAACTTAACACACGCGTCTCAACTGTCGAGCGCTGGTTCACATCCGCCAAAACCGCGCAGGCCATGGAACGTCCCGCTTCCGCCACTGCCACCGGGCGCGTCGATGCCATCGCCGCCGAGCGCCTCAACCGACACGACCGGCGCGACGCCCTCGCGAGTTATTTTAGCGAAATTCCCGCCGCCACGATATTGGTGTAAGAATGATGCGGACTCGCATGGCATGCGTCCGACCTGTCACCCGCTGCTCCTAAAGCCAGGTAGGTAGGTACTGCTGGAGCAACCGGGCACCGCAAGGAAACGCGGATGTCGTCACCTTGATGTGCCTGCCGACAAAGGCAGAATTCCTCGCTGCTTCACACCTATGCGTGTTCTCCTGTCAATGCAGGGCCTACAACCGCGCGTTCGGGTTTTGCACGTCCGAGCTCGACTACGAAAAGTACACTAGTTCCAGCTGTTGACCATTCGCCACAACAGTCGGTCGCAATGCAAACACGGCTCGAGTCACCCGCAATTGCTCCAGTTTTGTCGTAGAGTTTGATAACGAGATACATTAGGTGTTCACAAGCATAGTGTACAGTACTAGATCTGGTGGCACAGTGGATAGGGATCGATAAGCTATCGCATCTCTAGAACAGCAGATTTCTGGGGGATAGTGATGTTTCCAAGAAGTGGAAGAGGATTTCCACGCAAGGCCGAGCGTTCTAGAAGACCAAGATATGGAAGCACGCACACGTCACAAGCTCCAGGCGCAGAGCAAGTGAGCTCGAGCCATCCACGAATTTGTAGTATCAGTCAAAAGCTAAGCTTCTCCAAGTACCTTGCTTTCTCACGGCGACATATGCCGCATCTGCACGGCAACCAAGGCCTCAAGCTTAATCTCTCAATGGTGGTTTCCAGCTCGGTGCGCCTCAAGGAAGGCGCTCGGTGGCTGGCGTCATCATTGACGAGTCCGACACCGTCCGCACGCTTGCCCGGCCCCGACGAGCGACGATCAGCTGGCGCACACGACGATGGCCGTCGGGCGTGCGACGCACCGTGGTTTCGATGGTCTTTAGCCAAGACGCCGACACCCTTCGCATCTACGCCTCTAGCGCAGCATCGCGCACGCAACCGCACTGCGGCCACTCGGTCGCTAAACCAGCATACAAGAGCAGCGGTCGCTAAGCCAGCATACAAGAGCAGCAGCCCGTGAGCGCCAACCACGCCCTGCCAATTGCGTCCCTGGCGCTCGTGGGTGAGTGCGATACGGTCCGTTTTCCCTACCCGTCTCGGCACCTTGGCTTTTTGTTCAACTGGCGCGTCAACTTCGCTCTGTGTCCGCCTACATCTACACGTTCGGCTCCGCGATCTCAGTGTGTACGACGAGGGTGCACTTGCCTTGGGCATTGACCTGCTCGACTACGCCGACAAGTTTCCCCAACAATGCGACGTCATCAGTACCGCAGCTCACAAGACGTTCGCGGTTTTTGTTCTCTTTTTCCCCCTCGCGGCGGCATCCTGCGGCATCGCTGGCGCCGTCGCAGCCGTC